GCCATCTTAATTTCTTTCCTGTCATCCTAATTACTTTCCCATCATCCTAATTACTTTCACATCATCCAAATTTTACTTTCCCATCTCCTAATTACTTTCCCGTTATCCTAATTAACTTCCTGCCATCTTAATTTCTTTCCTGTCATCCTAATTACTTTCCCATCATCCTAATTATTTTCCCGTCATCCTAATTACCTTCCTGCCATCTTAATTTCTTTCCTGTCATCCTAATTACTTTCCCATCATCCTAATTACTTTCCCATCATCCTAATTACTTTCCCATCATCCTAATTACTTTCCCGTCATCCTAATTACCTTCCTGCCATCTTAATTTCTTTCCTGTCGTCCTAATTACTTTCCCATCATCCTAATTACTTTCCTATCATCCTAATAACCTTCCTCATCAAATTTCTATTTTTTTTCATTTTCCCAGTGGAATGCCCGCACAATTTTACATAATTCACTCAGTTTCCACACAGTTCCCCCACAGTTTCCACACAGTTCCCCCACAGTTTCCACACAGTTCCCCCACATTTCCCCCACATTTCACTTACTTTCCACACAGTTCCCCACATTCCACACAGTTCCCCCAATTTCCAACAGTTCTTCCCCACAGTTTTCCACACAGTTACCCCACAGTTTCCACACAGTTCCCCCACAGTTTCCACACAGTTCCCCCACAGTTTCCACACAGTTCCCCACAGTTTCCACACAGTTCCCCCACAGTTTCCACACAGTTCCCCACAGTTTCCACACAGTTCCCACAGTTTCCACACAGTTCCCCCACAGTTTCCACACAGTTCCCCCACAGTTTCCACACAGTTCCCCCACAGTTTCCACACAGTTCCCCACAGTTTCCACACAGTTTCCCCCACAGTTTCCACACAGTCCCCCTCAGTTTCCACACAGTCCCCACAGTTACTTTCCCACAGTTCCCACATTACCCCAGTTTCCACACAGTTTCCCCCACAGTTTCCACACAGTTCCCCACAGTTTCCACACAGTTCCCCCACAGTTTCCACACAGTTCCCCACAGTTTCCACACAGTTTTCCACACAGTTTCCCACAGTTCCCCACAGTTTCCACACAGTTTCCCTCACAGTTTCCACACAGTTCCCCACAGTTTCCACAAGTTCCCCCACAGTTTCCACACAGTTCCCCCACAGTTTCCACACAGTTCCCCCACAGTTTCCACACAGTTCCCCCTCAGTTTCCACACAGTTCCCCCACAGTTTTCCACACAGTTTCCACACAGTTTCCCCAGTTTCCACACAGTTCCCCCACAGTTTCCACACAGTTTCCCCCACAGTTTCCACACAGTTCCCCCACAGTTTCCACACAGTTCCCCCACAGTTTCCACACAGTTTCCCCCTCATTTCCACACAGTTCCCCCACAGTTTCCACACAGTTTCCACACAGTTCCCACAGTTTCCACACAGTTCCCCCACAGTTTCCACAGTTCCCCCTCAATTTCCACACAGTTCCCCCACAGTTTCCACACAGTTCCCCCACAGTTTCCACACAGTTCCCCCACAGTTTCCACACAGTTCCCCCACAGTTTCCACACAGTTCCCCCACAGTTTCCACACAGTTCCCCCTCAGTTTCCACACAGTTCCCCCACAGTTTCCACACAGTTCCCCCACAGTTTCCACACAGTTCCCCCACAGTTTCCACACAGTTCCCCCAAGTTTCCACACAGTTCCCCCACAGTTTTCCACACAGTTCCCCCACAGTTTCCACACAGTTCCCCCTCAGTTTCCACACAGTTACCCCACAGTTTCCACACAGTTCCCCCACAGTTTCCACACAGTTCCCCCACAGTTTCCACACAGTTCCCCCAAGTTTCCACACAGTTCCCCCTCAGTTTCCACACAGTTCCCCCACAGTTTCCACACAGTTCCCCCTCAGTTTCCACACAGTTCCCCCACAGTTTCCACACAAATCCCCCACAATATCCACAGAGGTGGTGTGTAATATTAAAGCTTCCTTATATTCGGTTTATATAACATTCTACAGCTTTCTTATATCCTGGTTGTATAATACTAATATATCCTGGTTGTATAATACTAATATATCCTGGTTGTATAATACTAATATATCCTGGTTGTATAATACTAATTTTACAGTTTCCTTATATCTGGTTTATGTAATGTTAATCTTAAAACTTCCTTATATATCCTGGTTATATTACTGTTTTTGGTAGCTGTTTTATCTACAAGTTAACATTTTTATGTTTCCTTATATACAGGTTGTGCAATATTATATACAGGTTGTGTAATATTATATACAGGTTGTGTAATATATACAGGTTGTGTAATATATACAGGTTGTGTAATATATACAGGTTGTGTAATATATACAGGTTGTGTAATATATATAGCTTGTGTAATATTATATACAGGTTGTGTAATATATACAGCTTGTGTAATATTATATACAGGTTGTGTAATATTATATACAGGTTGTGTAATATTATATACAAGTGTAATATTATATACAGGTTGTGTAATAATTTTAAATCTTCGAGTATTGTTGTTGCCTGGGAAGAAAACGAGAGTTGGTTGACGTGGTTGATGTTAGTGAGAGTGGAAATATGTGTTGACGTGGTTATTAAGAACAAGAGTTGAAAGGTTAACGAGAGTGAGAGTGGGAGGATTGGTTGTGAGTGAGAGTGAAAGGCTTGGTTGAGAGTAAGAGTGGAAGGACGTGTTTCTCCAAGGTTAAGAAGACCTTCAGTAGTGGATTGAAGGTGGAATGATCTGCGGGTTGATGGTTTAATGGTTTACCTGGTGAATGTGGAGCAGAGAAGTGGAATGGATGGAATGATGCATCGTGTGTAGTGTTGGCAGAGATTAGTGAGTTTTCTCACTCTGCCAACCACAATAACTCTCGTCCTGACAACACTCACCCTGCTTAAAGTTACATGGGGAGGTTTAACATTACATGGGAAGGTTTAACATTACATGGGAAGGTTTAACATTACAAGGGGCGGTTTAACATTACAAGAGGCGGTTGAAAGTTACCTGGGGCGGTTTAACATTACATAGGGAGGTTTAACATTACATGGGGAGGTTTAACGTTACATGGGGCGGTTTAACGTTACATGAGGCAGTTTAACATTACATGGGGAGGTTTAACATTACATGGGAAGGTTAAACATTACAAGTGGAGTTTAACATTACATGGGGAGGTTTAACATTACAAGGGACGGTTTAAAGTTACATGGGGCGGTTTAACATTACATAGGGAGGTTTAACATTACATGGGAAGGTTAAACATTACAAGTGGAGTTTAACATTACAAGGGGCGGTTTAACATTACAAGGGGCGGTTTAACATTACATGGGGAGGTTTAAAGTTACATGGGGCGGTTTAACATTACATGGGGCAGTTTTAAAACGGGTTTTTATTTACATTATTAGTACGGTTATTTTCCTGTAACAATCTACGTTATTTTATTTTTACCCTGTAATAATTACCTTCAGAAGAATTATAATTCTCTAGGGAATTATATTATCGTTGCGTTGAATGAATTATCAATGAACTGTGAAGTTATTATTACTTTATTACTATTATTTTTATTATTACCGTTGACAGTACTGTTTGTGATACCGTTTGTAGTGATTTTTATACCGTTGTTGGTAATTGTTTTTATACCGTTGACAGTACTGTTTGTGACCCCGTTGATTAATACTATTTTTGAAGGCGGTGAGAGTGCTGCTCATACAACAGGAAATCTCTACTGTATTACGGTTTTCGGATGATGTATTAGCTGATGTATTTCTTTTTCCTTCTCGTTGGCGACCAGATAGACACCATGACAAGGTGTGTTGAGAGGCAATTATATTATTTTCTTCAAATTAGGCAGATAGGCTCAAGAAGCTGGCTAGGGCGTTTCCCAAAGCGGCCAGGCAACGTTAGACTGGCGCCGTACATGGGCAAGGAACGCAGGCAACGGTGGGTTGCTCGAGGGTGGGTGTGGGAGGCTGCAGTGGGTACCCGGGTCAACATTAGTGTTGAGTCAGTGGGACGTTTACTCATCCCTCATCCCCCCCTTTCTTGTGCTTCCGCTCAGTGATTCTCTTGTTTATTAGCCAGAGGGAAATAAAAGCCAATAAAAACCTTCCTTGACGCGGGTGTGAATCCCATATGATAACGCTGCTGTGTGTGCTTGAAATATACCCTACGTTGTTATGCCCAGATATGATAACGCTGCTGTGTGTGTGTGTGTGATCTGTTTTATATATATATATATATATATATATATATATATATATATATATATATATATATATATATATTTTATAAAATATATAAACGTAGGACCTAGTCTTGAGCAGTGTTCCGTGCCTCGGAGCAGTGATTCGCTGCTTCGGAGCAGTCATTCACTGCCCCGGAACAGTCATTCACTGCCCCGGAAAAAGTCATTCACTGCCTCACTCAACAGTGAAGAACACATCTTAAGCGGCGTTGAAGTCGCCAGTCTCTGACGATTGAGTAGTGTATCCTTTACACGATTTTCTTAGATATATTTATGTAAAAACTGTATTATCGTATTCTGTACATGCTTTAAATACTTCGACAAATTTTTATATATATATATATATTATATATATATAATTATAATATATTATATATATATTTTATATATATATTATATATATATATATATATATATATATATGATAAATTTTTATATTTCCATTCAGCAGAATGGAAATAACACCAGTGTTTTCGGCATAAGTAGAGACCATCTTCAAATGAGCTTCGACGGCCCCCAGTAATAAATTGTTGTTAGTGTATGCATGAATTCCCTCCAGTTTCACTGTCTTACGATATGAACCCAACGTTCAGAAGCTCCATAATGTGAACTAACACTGTTAACCACAGCATACAGCGCACTAGGAACACCAAGGTAACCACGTCACAATTTTCCATTGAAATTCCCAAAGCGTTGAAATGAGTTTGGAAGCGGCGTTGAAACACAGGTCAGCACGTACCTTAGTGTTAGAGAGGACCTGTAAGAGGATCGGGAAGTGAACACTAGGCTGAGTTCAGCGACTCTGCCGCCCTGCTGTCCTCCTGCCTCTATTTATACTTCTCTAGGGAAGGGCTGGCCTTATTTCATCCTTTTTTTTTCATTAGGGTATTTTAGTCTTGATCGAGTTGCTGGGGTAGGAGGCGCTAGAGCGTGGGAGGGGCGGCAGGATGTGTCCTGTATGGCAGGTTCCACTTTACATTATCGCTGTGTATAATGCCTCTCTCATCACGAGTCAACTAGCGTCTGTCAAATATGTATACTGTAATATCAGCTCTGAATAATGTGCAATGGGTACGAGGCTTTAATTACACTAGGTGAAGGTAGGATAAAAAAAATCATTGAGAGATGTATCAGCATGTGGCAGTGGAAGGTCGGCTACAGGTCGGGAAGGATGGCCCGACCAATCACACACCACTTTACTACTCCACTAACCCCGCCCGCTAGTTTGAGAGAATTGTCAAGGACACTACGATCGAACCCCTTCCCATACGCTCTAACCACAACTATATTCCACACGGAGTGTGGATGAGCTTGGGTATAAGCAGCAGAGAGCGTGGCTAGGATAAGGCGTCTTGGAAGAAGTATATCCATGGAAATGGTGGTGCCTTTCCCAGGCGTCAGTAGACGCCAACAGCTCGGCGTCACACTGTTTTCACCGCCATCTGTTACAGTTTTTTAGGAATTGAGATGTATCTGAATGTTTTTTTGTGTGAAACACTAGTCGAGGCAGGTACAGCTTCCCCAGCTGTGTGAAACACTAGTGGAGGCAGGTACAGCTTCCCCAGCTGTGTGAAACACTAGTGGAGGCTGGTACAGCTTCCCCAGCTGTGTGAAACACTAGTGGAGGCAGGTACAGCTTCCCCAGCTTTTGTGAAACACTAGTGGAGGCAGGTACAGCTTCCCCAGCTGTGTGAAACACTAGTGGAGGCTGGTACAGCTTCCCCAGCTGTGTGAAACACTAGTGGAGGCAGGTACAGCTTCCCCAACTGTGTGAAACACTAGTGGAGGCTGGTACAGCTTCCCCAGCTGTGTGAAACACTAGTGGAGGCTGGTACAGCTTCCCCAGCTGTGTGAAACACTAGTGGAGGCAGGTACAGCTTCCCCAGCTGTGTGAAACACTAGTGGAGGCTGGTACAGCTTCCCCAGCTGTGTGAAACACTAGTGGAGGCAGGTCAAGCTTCCTCAGCTGTGTGAAACACTAGTGGAGGCTGGTCCAGGTTCCCCATGTGTGCGAAACACTAGTGGAGGCTGGTCCAGCTCCTCCAGGTATGTCACACACTGGTGGAGGCTGGTCCAGCTCCTCCAGGTGTGTCACACTGGTGGAGGCTGGTCCAGCTCCTCCAGGTGTGTCACACTGGTGGAGGCTGGTCCAGCTCCTCCAGGTGTGTCACACTGGTGGAGGCTGGTCCAGCTCCTCCAGGTGTGTCACACACTGGTGGAGGCTGGTACAGCTCCTCCAGGTGTGCCACACACACTGGTGGAGGCTGGTCCAGCTCCTCCAGGTGTGTCACACTGGTGGAGGCTGGTCCAGCTCCTCTAGGTGTGTCACACTGGTGAAGGCTGGTCCAGTTCCTCCAGGTGTGTCACACACTGGTAGAGGCTGGTACAGCTCCTCCAGGTGTGACACACACACTGGTGGAGGCTGGTCCAGCTCCTCCAGGTGTGCCACACACACTGGTGGAGGCTGGTACAGCTCCTCCAGGTGTGTCACACACTGGTGGAGGCTGCTCCAGCTCCTCCAGGTGTGACACACACACTGGTGGAGGCTGGTCCAGCTCCTCCAGGTGTGCCACACACACTGGTGGAGGCTGGTACAGCTCCTCCAGGTGTGTCACACACTGGTGGAGGCTGCTCCAGCTCCTCCAGGTGTGTCACACACTGGTGAAGGCTGGTACAGCTCCTCCAGGTGTGCCACACACACACTGGTGGAGGCTGGTCCAGCTCCTCCAGCTGTCACACACACTGGTGGGGACTGGTCCAGTTCCTCCAGGTGTGCCACACAGTGATGGAGGCTGGTCCAGCTCCTCCAAGTGTGTCACACACTAGTGGAGGCTGGTCCAGCTCCTTCAGGTGTGTCACACACTGGTGGAGGCTGGTCCAGCTCCTCCAGGTGTGTCACACTGATGGAGGCTGGTCCAGCTCCTCCAGGTGTGTCACACACTGATGGAGGCTGGTCCAGCTCCTCCAGGTGTGTCACACACTGATGGAGGCTGGTCCAGCTCCTCCAGGTGTGCCACACACTGATAGAGGCTGGTCCAGCTCCTCCAGGTGTGTCACACACACTGGTGGAGGCTGGTCCAGCTGCTCCAGGTGTGTCACACACTGGTGGAGGCTGGTCCAGCTCCTCCAGGTGTGTCACACACTGGTGGTGGCTGGTCCAGCTCCTCCAGGTGTGTCACACACTGATTGAGGTTGGTCCAGCTGCTCCAGGTGTGTCACACTGATGGAGGCTGCTCCAGCTTCTCCAGGTGTGTCACACACTGGTGGAGGCTGGTCCAACTCCTCCAGGTGTGTCACAGACTGATAGTGGCTGGTCCAGCTCCTCCAGGTGTGTCACACACTGATTGAGGCTGGTCCAGCTCCTCCAGGTGTGTCACACACTAATAGAGGCTGGTCAAGCTCCTCCAGGTGTGTCACACACTGATTGAGGCTGGTCCTGCTCCTCCAGGTGTGTCACACACTGAGGGAGGCTGGTACAGCTCCTCCAGGTGTGCCACACACTGATAGAGGCTGGTCCAGCTCCTCCAGGTGTGTCACACACTGGTGGAGGCTGGTCCAGCTCCTCCAGGTGTGTCACACACTGGTGGTGGCTGGTCCAGCTGCTCCAGGTGTGTCACACACTGGTGGAGGCTGGTCCAGCTCCTCCAGGTGTGTCACACACTGGTGGTGGCTGGTCCAGCTGCTCCAGGTGTGTCACACACTGATGGAGGTTGGTCCAGCTCCTCCAGGTGTGTCACACTGATGGAGGCTGCTCCAGCTTCTCCAGGTGTGTCACACACTGGTGGAGGCTGGTCCAGCTCCTCCAGGTGTGTCACACACTGATAGAGGCTGGTCCAGCTCCTCCAGGTGTGTCACACACTGATTGAGGCTGGTCCAGCTCCTCCAGGTGTGTCACACACACTAATAGAGGCTGGTCCAGCTCCTCCAGGTGTGTAACACACTGATTGAGGCTGGTCCAGCTGCTCCAGGTGTGTCACACACTGGTGGAGGCTGGTCCAGCTCCTCCAGGTGTGTCACACTGATTGAGGCTGGTCCAGCTCCTCCAGGTGTGTCACACAGTGATGTAGGCTGGTCCAGCTCCTCCAGGTGTGTCATACACTGATGGAGGCTGGTCCAGCTCCTCCAGGTGTGTCACACTGATTGAGGCAGGTCCAGCTCCTCCAGGTGTGTCACACACTGATGGAGGCTGGTCCAGCTCCTCCAGGTGTGTCACACTGATTGAGGCTGGTCCAGCTCCTCCAGGTGTGTCACACAGTGATGGAGGCTGGTCCAGCTCCTCCAGGTGTGTCACACACTGATGGAGGCTGGTCCAGCTCCTCCAGGTGTGTCACACACTGATGGAGGCTGGTCCAGTTCCTCCAGGTGTGTCACACACTGATGGAGGCTGGTCCAGCTCCTCCAGGTGTGTCACACACTGATGGAGGCTGGTCCAGCTCCTCCAGGTGTGTCACACACTGATGGAGGCTGGTCCAGCTCCTCCAGGTGTGTCCACACACTGATGGAGGCTGGTCCAGCTCCTCCAGGTGTGTCACACACTGATGGAGGCTGGTCCAGCTCCTCCAGGTGTGTCACACACTGATGGAGGCTGGTCCAGATCCTCCAGGTGTGTCACACACTGGTGGAGGCTGGTCCAGCTCCTCCATGTGTGTCACACTGGTGGAGGCTGGTCCAGCTCCTCCAGGTGTGTCACACACTGATGGAGGCTGGTCCAGCTCCTCCAGGTGTGTCACACACTGATGGAGGCTGGTCCAGCTCCTCCAGGTGTGTCACACACTGATGGAGGCTGGTCCAGCTCCTCCAGGTGTGTCACACACTGATGGAGGCTGGTCCAGCCCTCCAGGTGTGTCACACACTGATGGAGGCTGGTCCAGCTCCTCCAGGTGTGTCACACACTGATGGAGGCTGGTCCAGCTCCTCCAGGTGTGTCCACACACTGATGGAGGCTGGTCCAGCTCCTCCAGGTGTGTCACACACTGATGGAGGCTGGTCCAGCTCCTGCAGGTGTGTCACACACTGATGGAGGCTGGTCCAGCTCCTCCAGGTGTGTCACACACTGATGGAGGCTGGTCCAGCTCCTCCAGGTGTGTCACACACTGATGGAGGCTGGTACAGCTCCTCCAGGTGTGTCACACACTGATGGAGGCTGGTCCAGCTCCTCCAGGTGTGTCACACACTGATGGAGGCTGTCCAGCTCCTCCAGGTGTGTCACACACTGATGGAGGTGGTCCAGCTCCTCCAGGTGTGTCACACACTGATGGAGGCGTCCAGCTCCTCCAGGTGTGTCACACACTGATGGAGGACGTCCAGCTCCTCCAGGTGTGTCACACACTGATGGAGGCTGGTCCAGCTCCTCCAGGTGTGTCACACACTGATGGAGGCTGGTCCAGCTCCTCCAGGTGTGTCACACACTGATGGAGGACGTCCAGCTCCTCCAGGTGTGTCACACACTGATGGAGGCTGGTCCAGCTCCTCCAGGTGTGTCACACACTGATGGAGGCTGGTCCAGCTCCTCCAGGTGTGTCACACACTGATGGAGGTGGTCCAGCTCCCCAGGTGTGTCACACACTGATGGAGGCTGGTCCAGCCCTCCAGGTGTGTCACACACTGATGGAGGCTGGTCCAGCTCCTCCAGGTGTGTCACACACTGATGGAGGCTGGTCCAGATATAGTGTGTGCTCTCTCGTAAACTTGTACCAGTCATCTCTAGTTTATCGTTTCGTTTTTTCTTCACTCGATATGTCGCCCATAAACATCCGGAATTAAGTCTTAATTGGGCTGAAGTGATCTGATTTGCCTCAGACTGTGTTTGCGAAGCGAAGATAATTCTTAATTACGAACCTTCTGTAGATTGT